GAAAGTTATACCTTCACTTGAAATGAATAAAACTTCTGCTTTCACTTAGAACTTACAATAAGTGAGTACTTCTAATAAGATATATCAAATACTCATTGATATTCGAAGTGTATATACAATTCAGTAATAAGTAAATAAATATGAATAGTGAATGGTAAGAAAAAGATTTTTTGAATTTTGAATTTTGAACCTATACCCTGATCAGCTTGACCGACCTGATCAGTCTGATCAAGTCGGCCCGATCTGACGGCCTGATACTGCCTGATCATGCCGGGTCGGGCGTTTCGGATTTTTGTGACATGGATAATATGTCTATTATACAGCAGGCCGTGTCCAAAGTTACTAGGTTTCGTGGGTTTCAAATGCCTCGAATGATGGCAGAGAAGGTCATTCGTGCATGCCATAGAACTTGAAATACACTCTGGAAACTAATATCGTCCAGTCCTCGCTGTAGAAACCCCACACAAACCGTCTGTACCTCAAACCTCCAGATCTCAACTTTTCAGTAGCAGGATACCTTGCACAGTTATTCCGAGTTCAATATTGTAAGACAATCGTATCTCTAAATAGGGTATGCTAATACTTCATCGGCAAAACGTGCTACGCGCGCTAAACTTCCCATAGTGCTAGGTAGCACTAGGTAGGATAGGTAAGTACGGAGTCACTAAGAGTCGGTATATAGACTACACAGCCCTACATACCACCGCCTATCACTCCTAGCACGGGCGCTAAAACGGATTCTGTGTCAACTTTCCTGATGCTTGACAGTCAGCTCGATGTAAAGGGCATCTATTCAGATACACTGGAAGGCAAACTCGTAGTGGTGAACAGATATCCTAGTAAGCGTCTGATAATTCAGGCTTTATAGCAGGCGAGGCGAGTAAAAAAATTACACTTGTTATACAAACAACGAGATCGTAAGGTACAGGTACAAGCACACTAATCAGAGAGAATCGTGAAAAGTCCAGATAGCTAAGTAAATCCAGTTCCGTGAGGTATTATACATATATAATGCTTGGTTACAGTGATGATGTCGCGAGGAGAATGACGAGAAGGGAAGGAAATAATCGACTAGAATACAGAGCTAATAATGAGGAGGTTAGTTCAGAACATCTCTTTGAAATAGTGGTGACTTACGATGATTGAGAGTCAAAGAAAGACGATTTATTTTTCGTGTTTAGATCCACGCGGAGTCTTCAATATCTAGGACTTCAGCCTTGAGAAGATACATTAGTTTTGGCGCAGACATAAAGCATGTGAATATTTACCTTTTCGACGATTCCGAAGTTCTTCTTGGGGAAATAAGAACGAACCATGCTGGTAACAGCGCGGGTGACGGTGGTAGAGGACATATTTGATTCCGCGAAAGAGGGTTGTTAGACTTGGGAGAAGTTGTCGAGTGGGATGTGATGAATGACAGAGATTGCTGAAGAAAAGACAACCGCACTCCTTCCGTTTTTATAGGTAAAAAAAAGATCCGCGCTTTGAGCTGAATAAGGTGAGGTCGTTGTCATATGCATCTTTACTTCTGATTGGTGCCCACCTTAGACTCCGACTCCGACCAATAGATGGCGGGGCGTATCGATGTGTAATGCTGTCCGCCGTTCGGGTTCTCCGTACGATCCTCGGTGTAGTTGGTTAGCACATTCAAGGTCTTCTCAGCTGCTTCCAGGGCTTTCTCCTCTCGCGATCTTTGTCAGGCATAATCCCCGACTAGGAGACAAGACCAGCTCTCGTTGCACTAAGTCTACTTAGTCATCGACCTCGGGATGCACACGACTCAAAATCACACCGTATCGGACCTTTTGGCAATTTTTCTCTCGTACGGCTCGTAATCTTGGCACCTGGTACAAGGACTCAAACTCTCTATGCAGTCGTCTGCTCAAAATCGTCCCTCGTAACCCTTGCAGAAGGCCTTGCCGTCAAACAGAGTCGATTCAGCTTTATTTCGAGACGACGGCCCGCACGATAGACCTCCAACATAATTCGCTTGCTCCCCACGACCCGCCATCCGCATCCCGGCCCTCATCCTCTTCGAGATCAAGGCTCTCCACCCACACGTGGTGCAGATATGACTCAAGAAGGGAGATCTAGGAGTAGCACGTGCCGATTCGCGCAGGGAGTCACGCCGCATATTTTCCGGTCAATAGACAGTAAAAATAACTTGAGGTAACATTTCAGAAAAACTGGGTAATTGGCAATTGCGCAAAGGTCAGCTGGTGCGAATCACGAGATGTGGTCCAACTGGGTGTTCATCAGCTACATGGTTCTCTGCAAGGTAGAGAAACAGGGTATAGAACCACTGGCATATTTAAGCCTTCCCTGTCTTTGTCAATGCCCATCCCCATTGCCTGCTTACCGTCTTCATGATTAGGTCTTTTCTTCTCCTTTCTGCCGCAATTAAATCCCTGGCATGGTCTTCTGACCAGAATGTCATGATCGATGCCGACGCTACAATCTCCATCGATGCATCTCAGAAATACCAGACAATGGTCGGTGCTGGGTGCTCTGGTTCATTCCAACGAGCCCGAGACATATTTGGTCGCTCAGGTCTCTCCGCTCAGCACCAGCAAGAAGTTATCCAAACTCTCTTCGATCCCCAAATTGGTGCTTTGAATATTTTACGCAACGGTATCGGCTCATCTCCAAATAGCACGCGGGACTGGATGAACTCTATTCTTCCCGTCTGTCCATCCACACCCGAGGGACCCTTCAATTACACATTCGATAATGACGATAGTGCGCAGCTAGCCCTCTCGAAAGCCGCTTTAGGTCATAATCCCGACCTAATTATTTACGCGGATGCCTGGTCCGCCCCTGGCTGCATGAAGACCGTCGGCGTTGACTCACAAGGTGGCTTCCTGTGCGGCGTGCGAGGCACGAACTGCTCTTCTGGTGACTGGCGGCAAGCCTATTCTGACTATATCGTGCAGTACATCCGCTTCTACCAAGAACAAGGCATCAAGATCTCCGCCGTAGGACCCTTTAATGAGCCGGACTACAACCCCATTACCTATGCCTCCATGCTTTCCGATGGCTTCCAAGCTAAAGACCTCCTTGAGGTTCTCTATCCCACTGTCAAAGCCGCATTTCCAAGCGTTAGTGTTGCATGCTGCGATGAAACTGGCGCGAGACAAGGCAGGACGCAACTATACGAGATTCAGAAAGCTGGAGGGGGGAATCTCTTCGACATCTATACCTACCACAGCTACCAATCCGATCCCAAGATCCCCTTCAACACGCCAAAACAAAATTGGCAGACCGAGTGGGCTGACGGTGGTGGCGCATGGAATCCACATTGGGATGTTGTAGGACACATGTCGGAAGGCCATAATTGGGCGCTGTACATGCACAACGCCTTCGTTAATGCTGATACGAGCGCGTATTTGCATTGGCAATGTGCAGAGAATGATTCGGGGGACAATGGGCTCATTCATCTTGCAGGGGACTCTTATGAGGTGTCAGCGCGGCTGTGGGCGATGGCGGGGTATTTCAGGTTTGTGAAACCAGGCGCGAGGCGCATAGATGCATCCAGCTCTGTGGAAGAGGTGTACGTGTCTGCGTTTGAGAACACGAACGGAACTCTTGCAATCCCGATTATCAATGCGGCGCGATTTGCATATACCGTGACGGTTGACTTGAAGGGTGCCAAAGCCACGATGGCGACGCCGTATTTAACTGATAACAATCATAATGTGAGTAGAATGGCGGATGTCGCTGTGCATGGATCAACGTTCACGGCGATGGTGGAGCCGCGGGCTATGAAGACATTCTTCCTACATTGATTCAGTCAATAGAATAAAATACACATGTAGATGTGAATAAAGGCAATAGATTTTTCTTGTTTAAACTAGTCTCACTCTTTGGCTGGCATTATGGAATGAAAAACCTCATTATTTCGGAGCCATAACACTTCCATTTTTATAGATAAAAATCTGCGCCCCGAGCTGAAGAAGGTGAAGTCGTCTGTCATATCCAATTATAACTTCTTAGCATGTATTATTTACAACACACAAATAAAAGAAAATATATACAGAAAATCACGAAATCACGTCATCGGATCCAGAATAATAAGGTCCACCAAATCGTGAACCACGAAGCGCCATGCTTTTCTCCATAGCCTCCATTCCATCGGCGAATACACCAAACATTCCCTAATTTGCAGGCGAAATATCACAGAACAGGAGATACCGCTTGTACGCCCATAAAGTAAACACAGTCTCTCCCAGGACGACACCAGCCGGGAACAAATTGATGTGTGCGTCCCAGGCTAGTCGTAGGATTTGGCGACCAACATAAGAGGAAATGACTCAGAGCGACAGTGCAAAAACCTTCCAATGATCTAATAGGAAGGGCAGATTGGTTTCTTCGTCAATGATAGTAAGCTTGGGCCCGTGGTATCCTTTCCTGGCCAACAAGGAAAATAACCAAGGGACAACAGGTGTGGTTGCTGGACTTAATACTGCGAAGGCCAAGTTTGATTACGCACTCATAATCATGGACCCGAAGGCCAGCACGATGAAGAGTAGGTTAGCCGTGTACCCTGCCAGGTAGAAGAGCGCGAAGCCTGTGGTGCGCCTGAGTTCAGACATATTTTAAAGATACAAGGATTAGGAAAGCTAAGTGGCTTGAGCGTACCAAAAATCACCTACTACACTTTCTGCTTTGTACTTATTCCTTTCCTGGCGCCCCATTTAAGTTGGGTTAGGGATAATCTCAGGCTTCCTAGCGCCGTTTCTTTTTAAGAAACCCCCTATTATCTACTCATGCCTCCTGAGTGATAAGTGTTAATACGGCTTTCTCCGTCGGTCCCGTTTTCCCAACGGATTCTCTGGCATTGTTAATATTAATGTATGTAGGATGGATAACGCGGAAAGGGGGTGCGATACATATCCATTAGTGTAAAAGTTAAGTATTCCCGTCAATCTGCCAAAGCTGTCCAGGAGAAACGTAGCGATGTGTAGCCGCGGTCGATAATACGCACGCTGCTCTCAGTTAATGCACTAATGGGGTAGTGGTAACCTTAGTCGTTGCCATCATCAGGAAATCTGACACAGTCCAATTAGTGCTAGGTGGTCTAGGTAGCACTAGGCAACGGCGGATTCGCTAATCGAAGCTAGGAGTCGGTATCTAGACTATATACCACCGCCTATCGCTCCTAGCACAGGCGCTAAACCAGATTCTGTGTCAACTTTCCTGATGATCGACTAGCCGCGAGTTCAATTCTTGCTTAGTGCAATTTTATTTCATTGCTCAGTTACTAACGAAAATGTAATGCTCGGAGTGAGGCTATATTTTAGTGTTTTATTTGGGAGTTTCTGTTTAGCAGCTTAGCTGAATTCGTCTAAAATAGACTGAAAGAAATTCAGTTTTCGACGGATATCCTAAGCTTAGGGTATATATCGCACAATTAAACTTCGTGGGAGAAAATCAAGATCGTTATACAAACAACGGCATCGTAAGGTACAGGAATCAAAGAGAATCGTGAAACGTCCAGATAGTACAGTAAATACAGTTCCTTGGGACATTATAATTATATATAATGCTGGGTTACAGTGGTAGGGTCGCGAGGAGAATGATGAGATCCGAGGAAAAAAAAAACAACTAGACTACAGATCTATGAGGAGATAGTCAGTTTGGTGAATATGTCTTTAAAGAGCATTTGACGTACGATGATCGAGAATCAAAGGAGGCCGATTTTTTTTTCCTGGGCTTAGATCCAAGCAGAGTCTGCAATGTCTAGGACCTCAGCCTTGAGAAGGAATATTAGATATGGCACAGACATAAAGTATGGGAATATTTACCTTTTCGACGATCGGGAAACTCTTCTTGGGCCCGGGGAAATAGGAGCGAACCATCTGGGTAACAACGCTGGCGACGGCGGTGGAAGACATGGTTTTGACGCGGGAGATGGTTGTTAGACTTGGGAGAAGTTGTTGTGTGGGGTGTGAGGCAATGATTGCTGAAGAAAGGACGACACACGAATTCCGTTTTTATAGATAAAAATCTGAACTGAGTTAGGCGAAGTCGTCTGTCATCTTTGATTCTGATTGGTCCACCACCTCCGACCAATAGATGGCGGGTTGTATCGGAGTGTGTAATGCTGTCCGGGTTCTCCGCGCTCTATCCCCGACCGATTGCTATGCAGTTAATTAACACGTTCTTCCCAGCTGCATCTTCTGCCTTCCAGGGCTTTTTCTCATCGACCATTGTCGGGCATAATTCAGGCGTAGAAGACATTACTTCACGTCGGGCCAGCTGTTGATGTAAGTTTACCTACTCATCGGCCTCAAGATGCACATGCCAATATACACACGACTCACCCCGTTGCGGACCTTTGGTCAACTTTCCCTCATATGACTTCGTAATCCTGGCACATGGACTCTCCTAGTTGTCTTCTTAGGAACTTCCCTAGTAGTTTTGGCAAAAGGCATCTAACCATCTGCTCAGGGATGTCGACTCACAGCTGACCGGCGGGCATTTCAAGCCTTAGACAATCACAGTGTCATTAACAACGCGCAATTTTTTCTCAAGCTATACACTCATCCATCTGGGATGCTTAGTGTTATTGTTGGCCGGATGTTTGCTCCATTTCTACGATATTTCCGAGATGTAACAGAACATAGAATTCATTGGGATCGACAGCTGTCAAAAGTGTCAATACGGCTTGGTCACAGCCCCCTCCGTCAGTCCCGTTTTCCCAATGGAATAGTGTTCATTATTGATAGTATGCAGGATAATTCGTAAACTGTGACCCATTGATTTGAAAATTCCGTGCCAGTCTTCTTCGTTAATCTGTCAAAGCTGTGCAGGACAAAGGACAGTCTGAAAGAGATGTATCACTGCGTAGTAGTCGCCCTGGAGAATACGCATGCTGTTTGCTGTGAACGCAATAATGGGGTAGTGGTAACCTTAGTCGTTGCCATCAACTAGCCGCAAGTTCACTTCTTGTTTAGTGCATCTTTTCTTTTACAACATTCAAGGTGTAACAATGCAATGCTCAGCAGGGCGAGGTTTGATTGATAGAATAAGTACTAGGCAGTATCTCAAATACTTTTTCGCAAAGAAAAAAAAACGAAGTGCATAGGCGCTTCTCTCACTCGCGTAATTTCTTTTGCGATTTTTTCGCGAATAATTTGTTCATAAACGTACTGTAAGAAACTCGGTTTTCGATGGATAGCTGAAGCTTCCAGTGTATCACATAATGCTCGGTGACATTTGAGTAAGGATAATTGCTTGTTATGCAAACAACGCCATGTGTAAAAATACAGGTAGTAAGTATCACAGGGAATTACGAAAAGTCCAGAAAAGGTTCTATGAGGTGTAATGTATTGTACATTTATTCTTGGTTATAGTGACGAGAATGGTCATGAAGAGACCCGAAGAAACAATGGAGTAGAATACAAATCTAGTAGAAGATTAGTCCAGAGAATATCTCTTGGAAAAAGATGACGTACGATAAGGAAAAGAGACCTTTGTTTCCCGATGTGTCGAAGATTTACATCCAAGCAGTCTTCGTAGTCCAGCATTTCAGCCTAAGAAAGTAGTTACATTAGCTGTGGCTTAGTCATAAATGATGGAGCTGTTGAGTCCATCACGAAATCTGCCTACGGCGCTTGATTTTTCCATAGCGTCCCACGCTTTCTACAGACGGTATTAGCCACTATGCCGCTAAAGAGTCGCTAGCCCTCGCTAGCCTCGCTAATCCGAAATTTACCAACTCCGCTGTTTTCAACAATATCAGCGCCAATACGACTGTGTTGCAACTTAGAGTCGTACCACCACCATATTTTCTAACAGACTTGGTGGTTTCCGCATTGACATCCTGTAAGTTTATAACCATTAATCCGGACAATAAATTAACAACTATACAGGAACCTTTGAGATGGATGGAACGTAGCAAACAGTCATCAGGAAGGTCACCAACATCGTTGGGAGCTTCCGATGACCTTTGGGCTGCATTTGGTGAGTTCGTCTACTAGTGAACCTTACCTACATCTCAGAATCTTTATACTTCACAGGCGTTTTCCACTCTGAACTTAAGGAATGTGTGCTAAGTTTTGGCGAGCACTGTGTGAACTCTCGCTGACCGTTTCCATCTAGGTTGCAGGACTCAAAGGTCGACAGGAGGTATGGTTCGACAGCACAGGAGAGATGACTTCGGTATGACAATCTTCAACATCTCTTGCTATATCTGCCACTCATATGAAATCCCAGTTCATGGCACAAACCCGCCGCTCGCTCTCCCAGCAATCTTCATTTGAGTTTCATGTTGTACTGCAATACTGTTAGCTTCTCTAGAGGCCAATTTTATAGCTGTACTCCTAAGATAGTTCCCACTGTATTTATCTGTAGAGACTCCGATTGAATAGAATATCAAGCTATTTTTATTTTATTTAATGTGTGAATAATTTGAAAATTAATAATAATCAATATCTCCACTATTGAGACTATGGGTTCCTAGATTCCCTATCATAGTTATCCATAGTGCCACTACAGCTAGCATATCACTGTTCCTATGCAAGCTATGGAGAGTATCATAGTGTACATAAAGTATGGTGGCTATGGAGGCTATAGATGCTATAATTGCAATTATAGTGTTTGACCACTTTCGTGATGTCACCTTTTCAATGATCTGAATCCCCTTCTTGTTGGAATGGTTAAGTTTCTGCTTGTATGATGCAGAGTAATGTTGGATTCAGCTAAGCTCTGACCGGCCAAGGTCGGCTCGGTCACGGCTCGCAAGTCGATGAAGCTGACATGTTGTGAAACATCATAGCTGAGTCTGACCGGTCTGTGACCGGCTTGAAAACAGTTTAAGTGCAGTGTTATCTATTGACTATCTATACAGCTGGCTACACCAAATTTACATACTTTTGAGGTATAAATCAATCCTAGAAGTAATTGAAAAGCTTCAAAAGCTATATAACAAGCATCATCAAGGGATCAACATCAAAAAGAGGGAAGAGAGAGTGTAAGGGAGCACACCGTTAACACATGGTTTACTATGTATGCCACTTTGATTGGTCAAAGTGGCACTGTTATGTTTGTATGGTTTTATGGCATATATGACTCTTTTTCTATATTATGACTTGTGTGATGACTCACTGTTTATTCATTATCTAGTCATCATATAGTCATGACTCACTATCTTCAAGTCAGAATGGTTCATTGGAGCCTTCTCCGACTTGTTTCCTGACTCAGTAGATAGTATTTAAACCTTTTTACTTGATGTATTTACTCTAGTCTTGGTTATAATGAATACACTGACTACTCTATTGTCTGATTCTCATTTACATCAAGCTCTAACTGAGGGATTAACTTCCAGTTTATTAAGTGAACCCTTACATATTTGGATACATTACCTGCAGGTAAACAGGTTTCTACAGGTAATTTGACCTAGTAAAGTGTCAGAAGTGATACCTGTTATCCACAGGTAGTTAAGTGCCAGGTACCCATGGGTTTGGAGAATTCACCTGTTATCTGTTGGCACAAGTACCTGTATGGATTACCTGTCAAAACCTGAACCCATGGCCAGCCCTAGTACAATCCCAAACCTATGATCCACTGAAATTCTAATCTGGCCCATAGCTTTGTTCCAAGCCTGCTCTTCCTGTGTGAGCTGCCCTACTGCCATGTATGGACTGAGCATTATGAGGCTCAACCCATAAGCTGAATCACAGTATACCTGAAAATAATGTTGATGAGGAGGATCTGTAACTTGTGATCCCAGCCTTCTCCATCATTTTATCATGCAACTTCAACTCTGCAAAGACACCATTGTCATTCTGTGGTGGGCAGAAAGGCCCTGCTATGTGTCCAATGAGCCTGTTGAGCAGTGTGATTGCTTGGAACTTCATGCTATGAATTTTTTTGTATCTGGTGTATGCCATTTCCTGATACCATTGAGGTCTGCAGGTTTGGTGAATGGTGTAGTCAATGAGACCAAAGACAGAGGGGGTGGGGATATTGTATTTCTTCAATGCATCAGCTTATTCTGCAGGTTCTCTGGATGCATCAGTCCCTGGTCATCCCAGTCAAGTACATGGCCCCAAGTCTCATTTAACCAGTGTGAGAACTCATTAACAGCTGCTGAAATTACACACTGCAGTGAGCAGAATTGTGTCATGAGCACAAATTGATCATGGGGTGAGCAAAGATGTGCACAGAGGAGGCAAAAAGCCTCTGGAGCTGAGAATTGACAGTGCACAGTAGTGATGAATGAATTGGGTATCTGAATAATTTCTACAAGCATAAGTAGCTCATTCAGAGTGAATCTGCTACTGAGTTAGCAACTTGTCCCACTTTGATCCAGTGGTTACACACCTGAGCCACCACAAACACTCTGCATCACTCATCTTCTGAATCCACTTGAGTGAAATCTTCTTCCCTCCTCTGTGTGGCCTTGGTCTACCAATTCATAGCTTGAGAAGCACTGGAATTGCACTTGTAAGAGCCATGGTGGAGGCTGGTGGTCCCAGCAGTGATGGGAGCTTATCAAGCATAGATGGGGGATATAGAGTGGCTATAGGGTGTTGCAGATGCTGGAAAGTGATTGCTGCAAGGAGTAGTTCTCCTTACACATGCATCAAACCTCTTCAGCAAGAGGCTACTTATGGAAATGGTAGTCACTTAGTTGCTTAGTCAGTCAAGCTGTAATTAGGCTCCACATGATTTATATTAACAACTCCAAATATAAAATTAGGAATCCTAATATATATCTGGTGCTAATACACTCTACTGCAGCTGATTCCAACTTGTGTCCTTGGAGTTCTCATGACATCTTTCTATCTCTCATGCTCTACATCACCAAAAAAATGATCAGTAGCCATTTAAATAATTGTATATACTTAATATGGTGTGAGAATTTTGTTTTTGATCTGAATATTGTCCTGCCTCAGTCCACAAGTCAAAAAGACAGTGCTTAGAATCCTAGAGAGGATTGACTGCTTTGAAATGGAGGGTTTACTACTCAGAAAAACTGAAATAATTATTCAAATTTAATGTAAATTTTCTTGCCATTTTATTAAATTCAATGAGAGTTGAAATCCACCCATTACTTTGTGGAGGTGTAAGGCATGATGTGACATGGGTATAAGGGCAACCCTAAAATGATCTGTAGATTTCACATGAACTAGTAGAGGGGAAATCTGAAGTATACATAAATGACCTAAAGTAGCATACATCAAAGGAATACTCACCCAATAGAGGGGAAATCTGAAGAGAAAAACTTTAAGGATACCTCACCACCAGAGAGCTGCTAAATACCCCAATACTTGAGATAAGAAAGATAAGAAGATATGAAATAAAAGACAAATGGAGTGATAAGAATAACCAAAGGGGAAATAGAGGTACAACCCTAAGTCACCAGACCAACATCTACATGCCTCCTAAACAGCCCTGATGCCTTGTGTCCAAAGTGAGTTTAAAGCCCAAGGTTTTACAAAGTAACAACCTAATGAATGAGTAAATAAAAATGAAATGAAGTCCTCCAAAGTGTAAAGAAGTAAAATGAAGCATGCCCAAAGTGGTAAAATAATAGAATGAAGTGAAAATGTAAAATGTAAAATAAAATAAAAAGTACAAAATAAAATAGAAAATAGGTTGTCCCCTGACAGCAGGGTTTGAATGAGTCATGGCTTGAGTAATGATCCTAATAGCTGCTACATCAGTCTTAAACAAATAGTGTTTAAACCTGAATGATAAACTTCAACTAGCATTCCAATGTTCCTATAAATCCAGATAATTAATAATTAGTTGTTAGAGTGTGTTGAACACTCCTACGGAACTCCAGGAAGTTGCTGGAGAATATGCATCCCAAACTACTACCTAACTACAAATATTTATCTGCATTCTTTCCAACTGGGTATCCAGCCTTTGAGAAAATCAAAGCACTCGGTTGATCTGTATTCTGACAACTTTTCCAAGTCAAATTATATGTTTGACAGGTCTATGAAATC